TCCCTCCCTCCCTCCCTCCCTCCCTTCTTCCCTCCTTCCTTTCTTATTTTCTTTTTCTTCTGACAGGTTATTGAGAAAGAAGCAAAAAATTTTATTGATGACTCTTTCAAAACGCTCCGGTCGGCTGAAGCGGCCTTTGACATGCTGTTAAAGTTTAAGCATATCCGCTCCCGGGAGGCCATCAACCGGCAGATGATGATGAAGTTTAATGACATTCTGGCCCAGTACTGCAAGGAGGTAACCGGGAAACCCACGGCTGCCTGGGCTGTGAACACAAGGCCACAGCTCAGCCTAGAGACTTTCTTTTCAAAGGAACATTGGCCAGGGGTCACCTCTAGAAGAGGTTTATGGATTTTAAATAATTTCAATCAAATCAGTATATGCGGGGTTGTGGTTTGCTATTTTAATACACACAACTTGGGATGCTTAGAGGGAAAGAGATTGAAAGCACAGGAAAGAAAAAAAGTAGTAAATATTGCACCGTATCTTTCTTATTTATTTATTTGTTTATTTATTTATTTATTTATTTATTTATTTATTTATTTTTCATTTTTTATCGTCTTGCTGTCCTCCCACAGCCAGGGCTGGGGGTGGACCCTAGAGTCTCAGCTGCCCCAGAGCTCTGCCATGCTCAGCCCTTATTTGCATTCCTTGCAAAATTCCCTCCTCCACCTAAGTCTTGCCTGTCTGGCACGGCCCACGGTAGGCTGACCAGAGCGCCACTCACTTTTCAGATCGACATCGTTAATAAGATCTTTGTGCAGAACCTGGACAACCCGCCGCTGTACAAGAATCACCCTCCGGTGGCAGGCGCCATCTGCTGGGAGCGCTCCCTCTTCTACAGGATCAAGCATACCATCCTCAGGTTCCAGGAGGTCGAGGAACTCCTGGACAGTGAACGCGGCCAGGAGGTGTGTCACTGCCTCCGGAGGCTGCGCTGTGCTCCTCTAGCTGGGTGGCTGCCACCTCGGCTGGCCAGTGGCATGCCCTGATTCCTGAGTATCCGTATCTAAGGCTTCTTTCTTGTTTCCTTCTTCCTTCTCTTCCAGTCTCTGTCCCCATGATGCCTGACTGCTTCTCCTTAGATTCGACTTTGCTTTGAAGGATGACTGTTGTCATTCATTTATGTATCTCTGTCTATCTGTCCATCCGTTCACCTGTCTGTCTGTCTGTCTATCCATCCTCTTTTAGATTTATTTTTGAGGCAGGGTCCTACATAGCTGTCTGACCTCAAACTCACTGTGTAGCTGAGAGGACTTTGAACTCCTGATTCTCCTGCCTCCATCTCCCAGGTTCTGGGATCAGAGATGAGCGCCACCACATCTGGCTTGTGTGGTGCTGGGGGTGGAGCCCTGAGGTTAAGCAAATGCTCTTCCAGCTGAGCCACATGCTCATGACCACTGTCTTTTTGACACTGGCCATCTCTTACCCCAAAGCTTTTTGTATGTGGTAAAGCGGAGGCTGACAGATGTTTTCGTTAAAGAACTATAGAGTTCGGGGCTGGAGAGAGAGCTCAGTGGTTAAGAGCGAGTACTGCTTTCTCAGGAGGCTTGTAGTTCTCATGTTGTGTGGCTCACCACCAATGGTGCCTCTCTAGCTCCAGGGGATCCGATACCTCTGGCCTTCGTGGGCACTCACACTTATGTGCATATGCACACTCATACACACATAATTAAAAATAAAATAAATCTTTAAAAAAATCCCTATAGTTTATGTGGAGGAAGGTAGAGCGAGGAGGTGATGGTTGTTCCACTTCCGGCAGGTAAAGCAGAAGTACCTGGAGGTGGGCAGGACCATGAAGGACTACGAAGACCGCAAGTACGAGCAGTGGAAGGAGAGCACCGAGCTGAGCCTCCCACACCTCATGAAGAAGAGCCTTCTCACCAAGGTGGGCCCTTCCACCCCGCCACAGTCGGGGCAGGGAGGGGAACAGAGGTGTCATGGACAGCAGCAGCTACACGCACCCCTTGGGTGGCTCGGTATTCTCCTTCAGAAAACAAGTCGAGGGGCTGGGGAGATGGCTCAGCCAGAAGCATGCGCACCTTGGGTGTTTCCAGCCAGTGAGAGACCCTGCCTCAAAAGAAAAAGTGTGGCAGGAGAGATGACAACTCAGGGGTTAAGGGTGTATGCTGCTCTTGTAGGGAGAGGACCCAGACTTGATTCCTCACGCCCACATGGGGAGGGGGAGGGGACGGATCTTCTCTTCTGGACCCTAGTTACCTGCATTCATGTGTATATACCCACTCCCCTCATTCATATTCATATATATATGAATGAGGGGAGTGGGTGTATAT